TTTTAAAAGTTGAAGAAAAAGTAATGAACAATACAATTAATATCATTAATACCAAATCTTCAAAAGCAGAGTTTCTAAAAAGCTTCATGGTTTTAATTCAGCTTAAATTCACCATTAGGCTGAATGAGTCCTAACTGTAATTACTCATGTTAACAATAGAGGCAATTCTGAAGTAACACATGCACTGAAAGTTCTTAGAAGAATTAAAGTTATTGGTAAGTAATAGTTGTATGGAAAAGATGCATAATCAGATCTCATTTTCACATAACCGAGTAGGTATGCAGCAATTGGTATATTTCCTTTTATCAACTTTCTACTTACATTTCTTCCATTTCCTTCCATGTCCATTCTCCACACCCCCAAGATCCAAAAATGATCTTTCCCCCACTCAAAACCACTCACCACCCTTGTATTCTTATTCATTCCCTCAATCCTTCAACACAATCACATTAATCATTTTTAGATTTGTACTTTCTTTGCCAAGTGTATATGAATACATTTATGCTCAACCACATATTCAAAACAGACAGACTGTTTTCTAACTCTCACCATCTGCTCTTCTAATTTATTTTTAGGTCACTTCATAGACCAATAGTTTTTTTTCATACTTTCCTATTGTGGTGCTCCCATTTGTTCTTTATAGTTTAACAAAATAATTTCTTCCTCATTTGTATTCATTTAAAATATTGCATGATTTTATCCAAAATTCATTTTTATCATTGTTAAGTGGAATATGTCACTGTAATAATGTAACAACAACAATCTATGGTTTCCTACTTTCATACAAACAACACATTAGAGATATATTTTAGTCTTTCATTCATAATTAAATCCATACTATTTTCCTACATGTAATTAACTGCATTCTCCAAGTTTAACCAACCTTTGTTAAATCCGTCATCTTTTTCTCTTACTTGCACTGACACACAATGCACCTATTCTTTCTATCAGTTATTAATGCATGCTTTGTATTATTTATTCTTCTTACATTTTAAGACACAATTTTCCATATGCCATGGGCATAATTAGATGGCCTTATAAATATTGGCTACCACCATCACTACTCAACATGGCTTTGGTCCTTGAAGACTTTTCCACAGCATTATTTGTAAAACAGAGATGGTGTAATCTAGTTATCAGCCACAGTTGTATCCATGCTACATAGTGTAGTTTCTAAGTGTAGGGAGAAGTCATTTTTGGTGCATTTTACCCGGTACATCACAAGAACAATCAAATACAAGGTTTATTCCTAGCATGCTCACATTATTTTCTGTAAGGCAGGATCTTTATTGCAGTGACTATATTGCAAGGCAATATACTATTGTAAAAGTATATTTTATATATGTATTTGTAAAAGTCCAGAATAGATTAAAAATAGATTAAGAATGAGTTAAAAATATAAAAATACTTATATATACGTTAAAAAAAGAAAAACCTAATTTACTTTTGGAAGAGCTCCTTACAGCTGTTGCTGCCTGTCCTCCATCTTCCCATTTCTTACGAAGTATAGTCATGTGAAAAAGTAATTACATCCCATGTAAAGGTGAAATAACTGAACAATAACAGCAAACCTCTGAAAAATTGACTTTTAAACATTTTTTAATTTTGTAAAAATATCATAATCTCTGTTTAAAACTAATCTGGCAGGAATCTAAACCTTCCAATTCAGTATCATTATATATAATGAGAAGGAAAGGAAATAATGATTAAAATGTTCATCTATCCCAGGATCTGAAAATATATTTCATATTATACTACCATCATAAATTAAGCTCTGTTTTTAATGTACCACTATGTAATTTACTGTATTTATATTCAGCTAATATGGAATTTACTGTTTTTACTTTAGTATTACACTAAATAAGTACCAGAAACATCTTTAGTGTCTGTTCTTCTGAAATGCTTTACGTATATAGGACCTTTTCCTTATCCCCAAAGCAAGAGAATCCCCCCACCTCACCCAATAACTATGATACAGTCTGTCCTTCTCTAAGATATGGCTATAAAATGATTATAAGAATAGCTTATTTATATGCATTGAAGTTTTCTTCCTTACCTTGTGACTACTTGATGTGTATAAACTCTGTTTGGACTTCCAAAAGATTTTGCCAAACCAAAATCAGCTAGTTTTAAAACTCCATTTTCATCCAGCAACAAATTATTTGGTTTAAGATCCTTGAAAAGAGAGATTGAGTAAAAATGATAGGAGTATGTAATATTCAAATAAAAATACTTTCTGTTTAGAAAAGGAGTAACTTTTACACTTATAAAAGGAATAAATCAAGATATCAAAACATGTACTGAGAAATAGGTTTGCAGGAAGCAGATTACGTACATATATGATTGAACAACCAAACAGAAAAAATACCTAAACTTTTATGCTTATTTCTGTCTCTGAGGGTATGTGAAGTCCATAATGTATTAGAAACAAATAAAAATTTAAGACAAATATTTTTACCCTAATGATCAGTTTGTTATCTGTTATGTCTCTTTATTTTAGCAACATATGTTTTTCCACCATTGAAGGCATTCTGAGCAAGTTACTAAAACATACCATAAATCCAAATGATGTATTATTTGAAAGTATTGGCTTTGTGAGAGGTATTATACTTTCAGAAAGAACACCATTGTCTATTAGGACAAAAATAGTAACATGACTGCAAACTACTTAGACAAATAAATGAAATTTGATTTAGATATTAACACTTCAGATTTAATTAAGACCAAGACAAAGAATTTACAAAGAGCTCCATCATTCTAGTCCCCCAATTCCTGTTCTAAGAAGATCACTGTTGGCTGGAAGTCCGTTCATTTTGTCTCTATGCTTACTTACCCTATGAAGAATCCAGTGTTCGTGTAAATATTCTAATCCCTGAAGTGTCATCAGCATATATGCTTTGATGTGGGAAGGTGTCAAAACAAGACTAGTGTCTTTTATTATAACCTGTAAATAAATATATTTTTATAAACTGCAACCACTTAATAACTAAGTTTACACACGTCTGTATTCAAATACAGAACAGACCAATTCAGATGGTACAAAACTTCATGGGAATAGTAGTGAGGAACAACAAACATGGAGGTTTCCAGAATAATGAATACTTTTCACTGCATACTTACAGAAGATTAATTCTTCAATGATATTAGGAATGCAGCTTTACCGAGTGACAAGGCTACTTTCGGCTAAAGATTATATGTTTTTGTGAAATCTCTATAGTGCTCCCACAAGATACTAAGCTATAACCTGTAGTTTACAAACTCCAATGATTGGAGTCACACTTAATGTGACTTGCTTGGTTTTGGCTTAAGTAAATGGTAGGAACTGAGCCACAAAGTTCAGAATTATTAAATCTTAGGACATCAGTTTGTCTTAACTTAGTCTCATTGATTTCTATGGCTCTCTAACAAGCATGATCAAGCTGACCCACAGTTTCTATTTAACAAAAAGTTATCTGAGACACATCTCATTAGAATATTTTAAGTCTAATTTAAATGAATACCTCCTTAAGCAATTTACTCTTTGATAAAAGCACTATCATCTTCAGTCTTCTGTTGCATGAACTTGTTACTTTTTTGGACTATATCAAATAGGTTGTTTTGCAGTATGACTCAATTATTTTACTTGTCTTCAGAATAATGCCATGTACCGTATCATGTTTCCTATATGACTTAGAGGATGAAAACCTCTATTCTCAATCAAAGAAAATGGAATTAGGGACAGAATGATAATCATTTCAGTTACACATTCTTAGACTTAAAAGCAATAAGATACCTCAAAAGGATTCAAGGACAAGTTAAAGTTGAAGGAATGAGAAATATTTTCAGACATAAAACAATTCGTTAGGTTTATTTAATAAATCAAGTGACACATTCTACTTTTCTATTTTTCCTAGTTTTTCCTGCAACTTTGTGACTTCTTCCCATGAGTTTTGATTATGCATAGTGATTATGATTATTGACTATGTATAAAGAATGAAACTTTCCTCTACAGGAAATGTTAAACCAGTGGAAAATGATTAGTTTAAGCAGTCTTACCTCTAGATCAGTTTCCATAAAATCAAACACTAGACTGATGTTTGATTTGTGTCCAAATGCATCAAGAAGCTGGAAGAAAAAGACATTTAGATGTTTGTTCTTGTTTCATAAACGGAAACAGGTCCAGGTTTAAAGAAATTCTGAGAAAAATAACCTGGGGTATCTTCTTCCTGCTTGGCCAATTCACAAGCAGTGTTAGCTAGCTGGGATGCATGCTAAGTTATCAGGTGATTGCTCTAGCTACTCTTACTTTTCTACAGTGTCCCAAAGTGATACTGGATCCAGCTACCTGCTGTGTCCAGGAGTGCTAAACTGGAAATTTTTTAAAGTGAGGAAACACACATCTTTTCCTCACAGTCTGACAACTTCTTAAAGATATCAAGTATTGTGATGGCTCTGCCATATGTAGGGAATATTAACAGTAGAATATTAATCTGAAAGGGTGTTTGATTCTTAAAGAGAATTATCTCCTTGTTTTAGAAGTATATACTATGGTTTTATTAATGCTTGTTAATGTTTTCTATAACCTTCCTTGTTACTATGTATATATTCTGAAAGGCAGGATAAACTGACATAAATAATACACAAACCAGAAACAGCATTTTTGACTTCTTGGTATGCTGGCTCAATTTAGATATAATAGAAAGGAATGTTAAATTATGTGCTAGCATTATACTTCAATAAATAAAACAGAGTTAATGTTTCTGCTCCATCTTTGCAGCTGTTTGCTCTTATCTTTGGCATTTTGAATATGTTTTCTAAATCATACATAGCAGAAACAATAATATGATGAAAAGCTCCACTCATTCCATCTCAAACCAAAAAGTTAGCAGAAATAAATCAATGTAAGAAGTCTGTTTTCCTCACAGTCTGACAACTTCTTAAATATATCAAGTATTGTGATGGCTCTGCCATATGTAGGGAATATTAACAGTAGAATATTAATCTGAAAGGGTGTTTGATTTTTAAAGAGAATTATAATTATTATTATAAATCCTTATAATTTTGATAATTACTGTTGCATATTGTTACTAGTTTTTGGCCATACATTTATTCATACTGTAACATGGGGTATATGTAGAGATTTAAGTTTGCAAAGTTCTTTTTAACTGAAAGATATGTTTTTCAGTGTCTTGAGTTCCCTTGGAACTCAAGCATAATAGTTAATAAAGGCTTTCTCAGCAAGTAACTCCAAAAATTCAGCTCATGGATTCATAATTAATAGCACTTATCAAAAGCAATAGCACTTAGACTTATATACTGTCCCATAGTGCTTTATAGCTCTCTCCGGGCGGTTTAAAATTTCAGCATATTGCCCCCCAATCTGGGTCCTTAATATCTGAAACAAAGGGGTTCATTACTATTAGAAGATTACATTCTTTTATTGCAATATATATGATTTCTTCCCACTTTAACATAATCAAGATTTACCTGAAACTGAACCATGCCATTTGCCTTTTTCATATTATCCTAACATACATAGAGTACATGGGTGAACAGAAAAGTGCCATAGGTAAATAGCTTATACAAGAATGTAATGAATTAGGTCTAATACACAAATGGCTTTTCCAAGTAATTTTTTTCCTATCAACTTTAGAAGATTGATTTTTCTGGGAAGTCTCATAGAAATAATTTCTAGCCAATTATATTGACAGCAAGGTAACAACATAACAAATATTTTTTTAGATAATACTTCATACTTACTCCAATAATATTTGGATGGCTAAGCTCTTGCAGCAGTTTTATTTCTCGAAGTGCTGTTCTATTTATACCTTATTTGAAAGAACATAAAATTAAAAGACTTTGAGGTACCTTAGGTGTTTCAAAGACTGCATTAATAAGGAGGGCTCAATGCTGATAATTCTGTCTTGATGATTTATGTATACATTTGTAATTGTGTAATGCCCATATGATTCAACTTTAAAAATCCCAAATCTATTTGAAGTGATCAGCCCTCTTAGAAGGACCAGATTCTTGTTCTGGACTTTTCTTCTAGATCTTAGAAGAAAACTTCCCCAAGTAAGAATTGTACAGTAATTGCTTTATGTTTCTGATTTAATCAGTAGAATTTCCAATTAAAAAGAAAGCAAGTTTCAGAGAGATTCCTACAATTTCCTATCTTTGTATTCAATGGTGAATTACAGAAACTAGTTTAATAGTATCCTAAAGCAGTTTCATGATGAATAGATTAAGCATGGCATCAACTTTCCTCATAAAATTTACACAAACACACCATTCTTGAATATTTCCATTTACTGTATTTTTCACACTATAAGACTCACCTGACTATAAGATGTACCTAGGTTTAGAGGAGGAAAACAAGAAAAAAAAATATCAGGCGGAGCCTGAGAGGACCACATATAGGTGTCCTGTCATGTGCCAACTCTGCCTATTGACTCCTGCACTGCGAAAAAGAGACAGAAGAGGCGGGGTTCAGCACTGTAAAAGGACCCCACCGCCACGGCCCGGCTGCAATTCACCAAAGGATCGGCACTAGTCCACTGTTGGGGACCCGAGGTAATACACTTCACCGTCTGTGACGCAATATTTGCTCCATAAGACGCACAGACATTTCCACCACCTTTTTTGGGGGGGGGGGGGGGGGGGGAGTATGTCTTATGGAACGAAAAATATGGTATATCCAAGATTCACTCAAACATATTACAGAAAAAAGAGTAGAATTATATTTCACATTCTTTGTATCCTAAGTCATGGGGAAAAACTATTTCCAGAAAAGGCTAGATCCCTATGCATTTTCCCATGTGATGCCACATTTCCTCCAAAATGCATTGTTTCTACAGTAGGTTGTGATGGGGACAAAGGGAGACTAGAAAGATAAGAGCTTATTTTCTATGGGGTAGAAAATTAGGTGCCCATATCTATACTGATACACTTTAGAATTTTAAATTTCTAAGCATCATTAATCAGAGTACAGTAATTACATGTGCCTATATTATCTATATCCACAATATCACTACACTGGCACTCCAATAATTGCAAACTCAACAGCATGCGAAGAGCCTGAAGTAGTCTACTTCAGATATCAGCTACCCTTAATATGCAGTAAATCTTTAAGATTAAGTTCAAAGGCCATATTGTTCATTCTACCTGATTGCGAATCAGGTGAACAGCTTAAGTAATTTTGTTTGTCATGTCATCTGAGGTTCAGGTTTAGTAAGTAAGGTCTTATTCTTTACAAATTCATTGTAGATGAGTATGTGAATGCAGCGTGTAGTACCGAGACCTGGGTAGGCAAAGGCAACAAAGTCATGCAGTCAGAGATTTCTCACTCCTAGGTTTTGAGTATCTCATCTGTTTGATGTGGTCTCAAGGCTGGTGTTAAAATCTGCTGAGTTTTGGGTGTTGGGTGACTTCAATTTCCATTGAAGTCTTAGAGGTGTTAAGAGTTTGGGAGCTCATAGCCTCTGTGACAACTGTGGGCTTGTCCCATGTGATTTGTCACAACATGTAAGCAGTTGGGCTTGTTTTGTCTGATGAGATATTATGATCTGCATATGGAAGGAAATTAAATCTGCCCTTTGTTATGATCATATCCCTTCCTTTTCCAGATGATTATGGCAGCTACTAAAAACCTTGCAAAGCAAACAGACTTTTTGGATAGTCTGCTCTAATTGCCTTATGAATTCAAAACGTTTCTGGTAAGCACCTGGATTTTTTTCTCAATTCATATATCCCAGGAGAAACTGATGGTGATTCTCCAATTTCATGTAGTGAGGGGGTTAGAGGGTTGCAAATGTTTTTTTTTTCTGTTAGTGTTGCTGCATTTTGGAATTACCTCCCCTTAGAAATTAGATCAGCCCTATATTGTTGGCTTTCAAGAAGTGATTAAAAACAGAGGTTCTCTTAAAATTTTGTGATAGGAGTTGACACCAACAATTTTAAATTTATGTTGGGATTGGTTTATTGTTTTCTTTTCTCTGCTTTATTGGGGATGTTGTATGATATTGTTTTGATATATATTGTGAACTGTAGAGTGTCTTTCCAATTGTGACAGGGATAATTCGAGTATATAAATAAATGTGAACTGGGATTTCCTCCTAATTACCGTTCCTTATTTCATCTTTCAGAAGCTACCTAACAAAGAAATTTTTACTTATTGGGTATTTCAGATACTTACCATCTTTAGCTTCTGATCGGTGTCCAAGTTTTATCTAGAACACAGAATATTCCCTTTTAACATATGCAGGTCAGAAACTGCAACAGTTCAGTAACACCTTTAACAGACAAATATCTATGCATATAAATAAATATACATGTTTATTTATACATATTCATAAAACTACACATATTACTATATATTTTATTTCAAATATTTCTAGCAGTTTAGTGCTTACAAATGTTTTGTAGAATTACATATTTGTGCCAATCCTAACTAGATGTCACAGTAAATCAAGAATCATGTTTAGTAAGGTATGATGTAAAAAAGTTGTGGACCTATATATGGAGTTTAACTTTGTTCCACTTCACAAATACCATCAAAAATCAAGAAAGTCTATACATAGTTTACATTATGTATAGTGAAAGTTGTGATTCATATGTCAAATTTAAATTCAGGGATGCAATAGGTTTTAGTTAATAATGTTTATCTACTACCCCTATGGCCCAAATCTTCATTTAAAAATAATTATGACAAACTGTAAAACAATTTTGAAGACTTAAATTTCCCTACTGCATATGTTTTAATTGGAGGAGACTTTAATGCCAGAATGGGATCCAGTGATAAGATACAATATATACTAGCTATCATCAACGTACCAGTAAGGAGACCTTATTGCTGCAACATCAATTCAAAGACAATATATCTACCTATATTGGCTATTGTCTAGCTCAATAAACTTGCTGTCTGAATTTTGATATCATAAAAGGGGCAATATTGAATGACTGTGCAACAGGGTATATTAACTGGGAAACAGGAATGAGCACTACAGATTATACCACAGTCTCGAATAATATGATTGCTTTATTAATTTCATTCTACCTGAGAATGGGCAGGTTAAAAAACAATAACAGATCAATGTCCTAAATTTAATGTAGCCATGACTTCTTACGACTGATTTTCTTGCTGCAAATGCAGATGCAAAAGTACCATACCTATAGCCATGGAATGTATTAAGAACTGCTGATGGTTTTAAGACTGCATTTTAGCAAAACAAACTTTCTTTGTTATTGTATTTATAGAAAATGTAAGATAAAACATAAATTATTTGAGAAAAACTCTTGGTTTTCTTTTCAGGTACTGTATTTTTCGCTCCATAAGATGCTCCTGACCATAAGACACACCTAAGTTTAGAGGAGGAAAACAAGAAAAAAAAATCTGCCTCTGCCTCCCAGCGTCCATCTGATATTCATCTGGATAGCGTCCTTGCAGTGAACAGTAAACAGCCTGCCTCCTCCGTGTCTTCCACCGGGGAAGGCTGGAGCTTCGTCTCCGAGCAACTGATCGGCAGTTAGATCGGCCTCCTGGAATACCGCCAATCAGCTGTTCCAGGTGGCGGAGATTGCTGCCGCCATTCACCACTGCCTGTCGTCCATATTCACTCCATAAGACACAGAGACATTTCCACCCACTTTTGGGAGGAAAAAAAGTGCATCTTATGGAGTGAAAATTATGGTAAATAAGATGAATTCTTATGTTTTGATATACAAGAAACAGGCTATTTCTTTTTACTTTAATTAAATGATTTTTCCAATTTATGTTGTTTGCAGAGGAATCCATTATCTTCTGCAAAAAATATTAGTGTTTTTCAAAAATATGTCCCTTTTATGTATATACAGGGTATTGGTCACACTTGCTGTATCTAAATACTGCCTCCCTTGAACTAATGGTGTAGCCTAGAATACACTAAATGCTTTTTTTAATCTGAAAATTACAGTAGAAAACCAGTAGTAGTAGTAAAGTAATTTCAGGGAAGACTACCTGCTATTATCAATGATTTCTTCCAATTTTTTTGGTAAGCTCTCAAGAAATGCTACAGTTCTTCAGAAACAATTTAAAAACCACAAATCTAAAGTTTCATTCTACTTTATACACATTTGCTGTAATATTACAAACTCCAAGAAGTGAAAGAACTGGCTTTGTTAAAATACTATACCAAGCTATGGTTAAGAAAACTTCATGTATAAGTAAGCCAACATTTTTAGATATGCTTTCTCGAACTCCATATTTTCATGAAGCTCTAAGCCATAATGTGTAGATTCATCCGTCCTCCCTCCATCCATTGAGGCATCATGGTCATCAGTTGCTCCGATTTACACATATTGTTAAGACATGACTCATTATCAACTGATAACCATGAGGCCTAAATTGATATTGTTTATGATGCCAACATGATACCTACAATATATGAAGTACATTTGAAAATCAGGATGTGTGTTGAAAAACAACTTCAGAATATAGTTAAACAGATCTAAAATCATTGCTGCATTTTTAATTATGGTTAAACAAAGGATGATCTGAAAAAGCATAAAATAGAGCCAAAATAAGACTTACTTTTTTAATAGCAACAATTTGATTTGTGTTCTTGTCTCTTGCTTTATAAACAGTAGCAAACTAAAGAGAGAGAAAATACCCTAAATATTAAACAATTCAATTTTCCAAAGATAAAGCAACATCATTATCCAGTTTTATTTACTTGGAACATAAAGAGGGGAATCTGTTCTTTCAGAACCTGAAAATACAATTTCAAATACAATTTCAAATCCTCAGGATGGCCAAGAGCAGTACAGGTAGTCTGTACAGTAAGTATAAACTGTAGTTCAGCAATACCTGAAGAAAAATAGCAATAGCACTTAGACTTATATCCACAGTGTTTTACAGCAATGCTCCTCAACGTTTGCAGCTTGGTGGCCCAGGGGGGAGAGGGGAGCTGGACCGTGCGAGTGGCGGACTGGTGCACATGCTTGCGCATGCACAGTTTAACTTGCGAAAAGTTGATCTGTGTGCTCATGCGCACGAAAGCTGGCCCCACCATTTACACAGCCCGGTTGTGAATAGGCCATGATCTGGTAGTGTGCTGTGGCCTGGGGTTGTGGACCACTGCTTTACACCACTCTCTGAGAGGTTTACAACATCAGCATATTGCACCCAACAATCTGAGTCATTTTCCTGACCTCAGCAGAATGGAAGCCTGAGTCAACCTTGAGCTGGTCAGGATTGAACTCCTGGCAGTGGGCAGAATTAGCCTGCAATACTACATTCTAACCGCTCCATCACCATGGCTCTTGAAGAACAACTGGTTCTTCATGGGTGGGAAATATGTAGTAAAATTATGCAAAATATTCAATAAAATGCAGCGGTACAAGCAGCACATCCATCCTAGAACATGAAAACAAGGTCTTCTCCAGAAAGCTTGACATGTCAGTTTATGCACTGGCAACACTTTTACTGGCAGTGGGCAGAGAAGCAACTGTGCATAAATCTTTGACCTATGACTACAATTGGGATCAGAATTTCTATTACTAAGCAAGGACATTAAGTGAATCATGCTCAATTTTATATTTTTTGTCATAGTTGTTAAACAATTCACTGCAGTTAAGTGAATGACATATGGTCCGTAAGTGAATCTGGGTTCCCCATTGACTGTGATTATAGGAAGTTTGCAAATGGTGATCATGTAACTCCAGGATGCTGCAACTGTTGTAAATACATGCATGTTGCCAAATGCTCAAATTTTGATCACATGGCCATAGGAATGCTGTGACAGTCATAGGTACAAGGATCAGTTGCAAGTCACTTTTTTCAATGCTGTTGTAATTTTAAACAGTTGCTAAACAAATGGTTGTAAGTAAAGGACTACCTATAATTACAGCATAAACTTCAAGGCAAAGCTATTTTAAACATTATAAATTACTGTGAAGTACATACATATGAGACTTTAACATTACAAAGCATTCATCCAAAAGACTGTAAATCTCTAGTTAGAAGAGTTTCCTATACAGAAGCAATGCATTGTTATTTGTCCAATTAGCAAACATTCAAAAGGCTATGCTATAGAATTTAATTTCTTTTTGGGTGAAAGATTAGGGATATCAACAATATTTTGTCAAATTTAATATCAGTCTCTAGCATCAGCTTCCCAAAAGAGAGCTCCTGTCTTTTTATCACTATCCTTTTGCAGAGCTATTTTCTTTTTTGGCATTACTTTATAATTGTTGTTTCTATTACCATTAATAATTAACCTCAGTTCGTACAACTTTCTTAATCAGATGATTAGCAAACAGTCTAAATCAAGATAAACATACTGCATAACAATAATATTTTGTGACCATTTGTTTGGAAGAAGTAAAATATTTGAGTATAGGCTGAGATACCAAGCACGGAATCACTGGTTTTCAGACTAAGTCTGGTTCTCTGCCACTATTTTAATAGATTATTTTGCTGTTTACTTTCTAATTGCTAAGCTACATCTTCACAATGCTGTGTGAAACACGAATCTGAAGAAAGCAAATTTAGAGGCTGCATTTGCATTACATGCTTATTGCCTGAGGTTTACTCAAATAACTCAATTTTCTGTATTAGGGAATGAGGTGGTACTGCCCAAAACAGACAGTTACAGCTTACTACGTTACACCAATATCTATCGAAGGATATTTTCTCATAATTAAAGATCAGAGATCAATGTAAACTGATTCCAAATTAGGGATGTGTAGGATTACATAAGATCTCAAGAAGCCAGAAATGCCACAGCTTACTTTCCTTGGGGGAAAAAAAGTGGCCTAGATTAGAATAAAAGAAAATGCTGAGGGGGAAAAAAAGTGTCTGATGAGGGGAGAGAAGATGCCTCTTTTGCAGGATCTGCAGCATAAAAAAGAGTTTGCACAAAGATCCTGGGGAGGACTAGATGACAAAGTCAAAGGCATTTTTTGGTGTATTCGTTTGCCTCCTTTATATTAAAAATAATCAAAGCGCTTCAGAAAAGCGAAGTGAGCCAGCAGTTATGTTGGCATGACGCACACGATTTACTGAGTGAACGTTTATCGCCAAATGTAACGACTCCTAAAATTCAGGCAGCCACGCTTTCACCGCTTAGCTAGTCTACCTCGCAAGGTTGTTGGAAACAGATGGAAGAAAGACCTTCCTAAATTCCCTTCTAGAAAAAAAAGGCAAGGTGTAGATTAGAATGACCTCGAGAGACAAAAGATGATCTCTGGGCTATTTCCCTCCATATATAAAAATAAATTTTATTACGGTCACAAAACAGAATTACAGAGACCAGAATTAAAAGGCAGACGAGGCCGCTATTCCTTACCTGGCCCTCACCCAGGAAGTCCAGTTTTTCGTAGCGTTTGGCTCGCGCTCGCGCATCCATGACGACGCGGGACCAGGGAAGGCTGGAAAAGCGATTTAAAACCCTCCGTAGCTGGAAAGGATCTTTAAAATTCCGAAAACCCAAACTGCAATTCCACTCCGCCGCTTCCGGCTTCCGGCTTAGCACTCTATGCTTGCGCATGCGCCGCACGTTGACCAAAGACGCTTCTGCCGGCCGGGTAACGGCGTCCAACGCGAAGAGCGCAACAGCCAGCGCCGGGACTCCGCTGTCAAGGAAACGTGTTGGGGGGGGGGAGCGCGAAAATTGGATAAGGCGCTTAGCTCGACTGAACAGCAGCAGCGGCAGCATTCCCTTCCAAAACTTGGCTTTGGAAGGAATGCGCACTTCCTATGAGTGAAAACATGATACAGAATTTTTCAGTTTTTAAATGACATTATCTGCCACGTTTTGTTCCTTAGATGTTTTGCACCCAGTTTGTAATACGTTTTAATCATGATCATGGCACATTGAACATTTTGAGAGAAGCGGAGAGAAGCAGCACTTTATAAATCACTTAAGGTGTTCTGCTTATGCTAGTAAGGTGACCTGAAACATGCAATAATTAGAGTTCAGTTAAGTGGCCAGCTATGTGGAATTGGGGAAATACCCCCGTTAAAATAATCCACAGTGGTCGGTTTCAAAATTTTTTACTACCGGTTCGGTGGGCATGGCAGGGGAAGGTTACTGTAAAATCTCCATTCCCTCCCCAATCCAGGGGAAGGTTACTGCAAAATCCCCATTTCCTCCTGATCAGCTGGGACTTGGGAGGCAGAGAATAGATGAGGGTGGGGCCAGTCAGAATTTTTACTACCAGTTCTCAGAACTACTCAAAATTTCCACTACCGGTTCTCCAGAACTGGTCAGAACCTGCTGAAACCCACCTCTGCCACAGAGGATTCAATCTGCATTTGCTAATTGGTATGTATATACACTGCTCTAGAAATCAGTTATAATGAATCACATGTCAGAGAAGACAACTAGGACCAATTTATCTGATCCCTGTCATGTCTGCTATTCAGATACTGGTAGCATCTGTTGGTGAGATCCTAAATTCCACGCCCACACTTTTGATGGTAATATCAATATTTTTTATTCAGAGGAAGGGCTGGTACTGATCTGGACTTCCAGCTAAAATTTACACATAGAGCTGGAGTGTATTAAAATCTTGCCAGATTAAAATCATTCTTCAGTTAGTCAGAAATATTCATCTGTTTGTAGACAGTGAATTGTTTTGGTGAAACATATTTGAAAGTTGATTTGCTTTCTTTTCCTTAAATTTCACCTCCAATTTGCTGCAATATTTGACTGGTCAAGCCTTGAATAAAACACTACTGTAAAACGGATCTAATGGTGATCTTTCTGAGATGAAATAGCATAATGGTCAGACATCCTCTTAGCTCTTTTCCAGTTGTGGGGCTGGTTATTGAACCCTAGCAACAGGTAGTCCTCAACTTGTCATTCATTTAACGATTCAACATTATGACACACTGAAAAAAGTTACAACCGATCCTTGAAGCTACAACTGGTACATCAACTTCAATGGTCACGTGTTCATGATTTGAATCATTGGCAAACTGGCTTGCCTTTACACTTGCAGCATCCTGTGATCATGTGATCTGTTTGCAATACTTCCAGCTAGTGTCCAAGCAGCACTCAGTGGGCAAAGCTGTATTTAATTAATGATACTGGTGATTTACTTAATAACTTGGGCCATAAATGCCTTAATGACTAGGGCCATAAATGCAGTCACATAATGCCTGACTTAATGACTGTGCAGCTTAATGACAAATTTTCTGGTTCCAATTGTGGTTGTAAATTGAGCACCTGTAGCAGATGCAACTAGGTGTTTTTCCACTAGGCGTGTCTTGTACTTCCAGTAAGGAATATCCACATTTCCTGGCAATATTCATTGTTCATACAACTTTTGCCATTTCAAATACAGTGAAGTTGCTTTGAATTTATTTTTTTGTAAATTTGCTTGTATGTTTGGGATTATTATCTGGCTGCATGTCTTGCTTCAGTTGATGGCCAAATGGCTTGGTAGTCTCCTGAAAAATTCTGTACATCTCAGATGATGGCAAGTCACATCAAACATCAAACATTTCACATGTTTTTGTTGTGAAATGCACTGTTTAATTCCTTCTAGATACAATAATGCCTATGAAAAAAATCTACTTTTGACTCATATCATTCACTGAACATTCCTCCAGAAGTCTGCAAAGTATGACTATATATCAGTGCTTTAGAAATGTTTTGCATTTTTTCTATATTGACAGGCATTTTTATAAGAATGACATTTTTACAGAGATCTTCAGAAATTTGAGTGAACCATTGCATACTTTTAAAACCCAGGGGATGAGAATGTGTCTAATGAAAGTAATACTTGTCAGATTGGCATGTTGCAGGGCTTGATTGTTAAATTCTAGAACAACTGCCCTTTGTTCTCTCTTTAACAATTCCATACATTAAAAAAGGAATTAGTGCTATATTTTTTTTCATTATCAGCATATTATATGTTGGGTAACTTTATGAAATGAAATAAATACCAAATATTAATTATTTACTTAAATTCCTTTTATATTTCACTAGGAACGTTTAGTGTTTGCAAAAATTCAGAAATTCTAAGAGGACAAATACTTTTTTCACAGAAGGGTAAGTAATGGAAAAAATAATGAAAGTGCACAAAGTATGTTTCAGTAAAGGCAGGCAGCACTGAAATGTACATTCTATTAAGGAGGTGCATTCAAGATTCTGTACTGTGGTTTTTATTAGCCAACTCTCCAGAGGCGTTTGCTATATTTGTATTATTTGTTTCACACCCGTCTATAATTGGTAATTAGAATTCATTTGGGTTTTGTGCAAATGCTAATATAGAACAAATCTTAAAATACATATGAAGAATATATCAAACAATAGTAGAAATGCAAACAGTACATTCGGTATCATACACAAAAGTATTTTTACAATAATAAAAGGTGAATGGCTTAATGGACATTTACCTACTGATTTAGTAAAAACCTTCCATACACATTTGCATTGTAAATTTGAATCCTTTTCCTACTTAAACAGATGAAAATTCTTCTCAAGTTTGTGTAAAAAATTATTGTTTCAAATAACATGTCTCTTCTTTGATTGTATAGTTCCTCTTTCCTGTCATAAAAACATATATGTGATAGCAAGTACATGTTAAAAATGAAATCAAGTGTTGATCACAAGATCTATGAATATATTCATTTGCAGTTTCAGTGCTGCTCCCTAGAAATAAATTTTGTACGTGCTTCATATAATTCACTGATGTGTATTATCATGTACTAAGTATTAAATACTATAAATTATACTTCATATCATTCTTGATTTATATATTAGTAGTGTACAAATCAGTGCTACCCACATCAATCAGCACACGTTTTTCCAGCTCCCTGATTCAGTGACTCAAACAACCCAATCATGGAGATGTTTTGATGTGCAAGTGATGAACTCCCTGTAAGAAACAGACATTTTGATGGAGCAAAGTAAATGTACGCAAGAAATTCTTATACACTGCAATTCATGGAAATTTCTAGAACTCATCTGAGCTCATTGGTATTAGCTGATTGACAAGTAAATATTACAAATATTTTCTTATTACAATGTAGTCACTAGGATTAAAGATAGACATATGAAAATAAATTCCTGTCTATTCTGAACCAAATTTAACAATTGTGTATATTGAGGTAGTATAGCACTCAGAAAGGGAAGAGCTGGGTTATTTCTTTTTCTGAAAGAATATTGTGCATACCTGTAGATTACATTGTACAATGAGTCCACTAACAAAATTTGTCAAATTTTGATATGGCTAAATTAAGTTTAATTCTCAGAGTTGTTTGGAAGGACATGCTACTTACTAGAAGGAACTAATCCTGCATTGTTCAAACTCTGAAAACAACATGGTTATCTTCAGGCTATTATTGTCATTTTAATACTAGCTATTTTTAATTATTAATTTATCAATAGCAACTATAAGGAAACTATACTGAATAGAATGAAAAAATAAATTTCATCAGGCAATTAAAGTGGATGCTTCTGTTACTGAAACAGTATTCTCTTTGAATGAGACATAACCACTTTCTAAAGCGATTACCTTTTAGTCTCTCACAAAAGCACTTTGGGAAAAAAAAACTTTCCTTTGACCTCCTTTAATATCCAGAGAGAGAAAGTGAAGAAGGACTTTATTGTAAGTACAATGGTTCGTTATTCAGCAGTTACAAACTGCACAATGCTCCACCTTATTCTGGACCTCCACGCTGTAAAATAAAATATTATCTTTTAGCAGAAACAAAAATCAATTCTTGCAACATTGCTGATTAGAATGATATTCATCATGCACTCGTTTACTGTCTTTCCTATAGGAACTCAAGCTGATATATATAATGCCCTTCCTATTTGATACCACAACAGTAATCTTGTGAGGTGGGCTGAACTAAAAGAGAACTGGCACAAAGTCATCCAGTGAGCTGTAGCTGAAGGGACTAGAATCCGATTTCCTCACTCCTACTCCAGTACCTTAACTATTTGTTTCTACTGCTTTCATACATACTAGTGACATTCTCTCTTTCACTCCCATGTGATTGTTTCAGCTCCTTCACTCAACAACAGGTTCCATTTGACTCGGGCACAAGCCAGACGACATCTGAGTGCCAACTGGAAAACTGTAACAAACCAAATGCTGCCATCTTAGTTAAATTTTAGGACCGAAATTAAATATGCAATTGAGTGGTTTTGGAACAACAAAAATGTAAAATTAAACAATGATAAAATACAGTCCAAGGGACACGGTGGCTCAGTTGCTAAGACGCTGAGCTTATTGATAGAAAGGTCGGCACTTCAGCGGTTCAAATCCCTAGTGCTGCATAACCGGGTGAGCTCCCGTTACTTGTCCCAGCTTCTGCCAACCTAGCAGTTTGAAAGCATGTAAAAAATGCAAGTAGAAAAATAGGGACCACTTTGGTGGGAAGGTAACAGCGTTCCGTGTGCCTTTGGCGTTTAGTCATGCTGGCCACATGACCACGGAAACGTCTTCGGACAGCACTGGCTCTTCATCTTTGAAATGGAGATGAGCACTGCCCCTAGAGTCGGGAACGACTAGCACATATGTGCGAGGATAACTTTTACCTTTACCTTAAAATACAGTAGGGCACAGTTGAGGATTAGAAAATGGAATTAGACATTAATTTCTAAACGGAATTAAAGTCTCCTGAAATCAAGTAATTTCAGAAGATTTCCAAATAATTAAAAAATAACATTTGGAATAATTTCAAGCCACTGCAGTGTTGCACAAATAACTACCCAAATGTTTTTGCAATGCTGATCTTGCAATATTTTTTCTACATTTGATTTCTGGCAGTTTTCTTACTACTTTGACTGTCTAAATAGCATAAATACAGATTAGTTGTTCAGTAAGGAAGGAGGGGAGAGCAATTGAGCAAATCTGTTTCAGCATTGTAATTGTTTCATTTATCACAATTCATACCCTGAGGCAAGGTCTGGTGTTCTGAATGTTTTAAAACAAGGCTAACCAATCATATTGCTTATCACAAGTCGATAGAGATATCCAACTCGATATTTCAGACCAGGGGTGAAATGTAAAATTTGTTACTACCGGTTCTGTGGGCATGGCTTGGTGGTGGTGGGGAGTAATGTGACTGGGTGGGCGTGGCCAACTTTTTTTTTTTTTTTAAACTTTTCAAAGCATTTTTTCTAATGCTTTGAAAAGCCTCTGCCGATCAGGCAACTCAGCTGGGATCATCAGAGAGGCATTTTAAAAAATACCTCTCTTGATGATCCCAGCTGAGTTGCCTGATGGGCAGAGAGGTATTTTTTAAAAAGCCTCTCTGACAATCCCAGCTGAGTTGCCTGATGGGCAGAGAGATATTTTTTTCTCTGCGATCAGGCAACTCAGCTGGGATCGTCAGAGACTTTTCAAAGCATTTTTTTTACCACCTCTTCGGCCAAGAGGTTGCAGAAAAAAAATGCTTTGAAAAGCCTCTGATGATCCCAGCTGCGTGATCATCAGAGGCTTTTTTTTTTTACTTTTAAAAGCATTTTTTCGTTGGAAGAGGTTATATAAAAAATGCTTTTAAAAGTAAAAAAAAAAGCCTCTGATGATCATGCGGCTCAGCTAGGCATGGGGAGGGGACGCAGGGATTTTTGCTACTGTTGTGGCCCCGCCCTCTGAGCCTGTCCCATCGGAGGAAGAAAGCTCCGAGCATGAGGAAGAGAAGTCAGCCAGGCCTCCCTCTCCAGGCCCCTCCCCTCTGGCACTGTCTCAGGAGCTGGCCGAGGGAGAGATTAGCCGGGAGACAGGTGTCTCGGATGAGAGTGAGGGAGAGACGTCATTCCGGACGCACGCCTCCGAAGGCGTGATAAACGATTGCAGCAGCTCAGGAGGCGTGCTAGGGATTAGAACTGAGTCACTGGACCACACCCCAGAGACTATATAATAGAGGGTGGTGGCCAGTGATCCCTGTGACGAACAAAAATAAACCTTGGATAGTCACTAAAGCCTCATCTGAAACTGCTGAGAGGAATATTATTTCTGTTGGACTCTTGTACGCTGAGTATATTATCTTTCTGTTTCTGTGGAAATAAAAGCACTTGGCAGACGGTGTGTATATCGCTGCCAAGTTGGAGATAAAGACCTGGGTGTGTGCCAAGTGCTTCCTTAACCCTCGGCTGGCTGTGTTTGTGTGTGTGTGTGTGGACGGGGACAGATCAGCTACTGGTTCTCCGAACCACCACCCGCCATCGCTACCGGATCGGGCGATCCGGTCTGAACTGGGAGCATTTCACCCGTTTCAGACTCAGGCTGCTTCAGTCAGATACTCCAGCCTCCCACCAGCTCCAGGTAATATGCCAAGCTATATTGGAGAGTACCAGTTTGTCTAAATTAGTTGTGTCAAATTCAAGATTATATGTTTTAAAGCTATCAAACACTTTTCTCTTACTTATTTTTGTAGGGGATCTTTGGGATAAAGTGACTAAATTCCCACCTAGAAGCATTCTTGAAAAGATAGCACTGATTTTTTTTTCCTCTGTGCCATACATTTCTACTATGAGGGGTTCCTGATCATATCAACAACAAACTCTTGGTAAAACTATTCAGAATTTGGAAAGAACAATCACCAATAGGTGAATGATACAAAGTAAGGAAAAGGATGGCTCTTGATCTTGAAAAGTAGAACTGACTTAACAGAGGGTATTCAATTTGTACTTTATGGAATTACACTAATGCTGGAAGAACAGATTTTTAAACTGGGATTCCCCTGAATTTGTGTTGTTGGATTTCTTAACAGCATGTTATGTAATTGATGCTAACTACTGCTTTATTTAGGAAGAATGAACCCTCTCCATGTAGCTGATAGGATAAGGGTTTCATGCAATTCTACTTGCAGCCATTTGGACTTGGTTGATAACTGAGATAGCACAGAATTTCCCATAAGCTAGTTAGACAAACAACTAATGAAGTCGCAAGTGAAATAGGTGGCTGTATAACTTCAATCAATCAATTTATTTAGTACTTTTCATAGAATATTCACTTTTGACAGGGATTTTAGGCCCCCCAAATTTAATTACAAAGTATTTTTCCACTGAATTTATTTGGCTCTTCATCTGTGGTTTCAGTTTGGCTGATACACGATTGGGAGAGTTATAATTTTTAGCTGTTTTAACGATATTATGGTGCTGAAAAGATGGATTCATATTGCCAAGGATTTTGTTTTGCAATAGGCAGTCCATTCCTGGTTTAAATCATGCTCTTAATATTTTTTTGGTAGAATCTAGAGATTATTCCATCTGAAATTCATGAGCTAATCATTAAAAATCTGTAATGTCAAATAAAACCAATACAATGCTAAACATTATGTATGACTAAAGCCTAGTTCCAACCTTCTGATTGTACTGCTTCTGTACCACACATACATACTCTCAAAGAACTAGTTTCTCATCACAAAAAGCAAACCACACAGTCTAAATTTTTATTTAATCATTTGATTTTTTTAAAAACGGGTTTTGAAAATAATACTATTTTAATTTTTTTTAAAAAAATGAGAACTTACTTGAATGTATTCCATCTCTTCAACTGACATAGGTTTCCTCCTGTATTTCTGAGGTAAAGTTCTTATTAATTCTGCTGTGTCAGGTATACCTTGTATTCTACCAGTAAATAAAGTATTTTGAGAAGATGGTGCTTTGTTTTCTGCAGAAAATTGCGAGGCTATCCCATGAAGCGGAGGCACTCTTGATTGTAGAGACTCTTGCACTGGAACAATAAGAGAGAAAATTAGGAAAAATACTCTGGGTACCCTACATCATGACTACCCATGTTGGTCTATTGCAGCAAAACACTGCCGCTACCTTAAAGGCGCGATAAAGTTTCCTGATCTGGCCTACCTCAAAGGGCTGACAATGTCAATCTGGTCCTGATCATTGGCCATGCAAGGTGGATATGATGAGAGGGTTGTAATCTAGCACGGAGAGTCAAGGATTAAGGAAGTTTGGCGTATATACATCATGTAAACCACTGAAGTTAAATGGTTAATTCAAAAAAGAATTAACTGAGACTGAGACTTTAATTAAAGTTTAGAAGTCCCCAGAAGAAACAATTACATTTGAGTACAACAGTGAATACTGTCAACATCTTAGTGCTGTGAAAAAATATTTTATTTTATATATCAATTTTAAAAAAAATTATTTCCCATTTTTATTATTTTTACAAATAATTCAGGCAGTGAACATATCCCACACACCTTCCTCCTCCTATTTTCTCCATAACAACAACCCTGTGAGGTGAGTTGGGCTGAGAGAGTAACTGGCCCAAGATCACCCAGCTGGCTTTCATAGCTAAGGTGGGACTTGAACTAATGGTCTCTTGTTTTCTAGCCCTGTGCCTTAGCTATTAGACCAAACTGCCCATCTCCTTCACAGAGCAACACACTGTTATAAACAATGAATTGCAATTCAAATGTCTTGAGCATAAATTATGGTAAGGCATGGCTCCATGTGCACTTAGTAAAGACATACTTACTATAAGGTTTTGGAGTACTTTTTCTGTCTGGAAACTTAATCAGTGGTGTATGTGGTTTGACTACCTAAAGAAATGGGGAAAGCAAGTCAATATATACATTTCTATATGTGTGCAATTCTGCCAAGAAAGAATAAAATTTATGTCTCTTTGTAGACTGAAAGCCAAATTGATGTAGCCAAGTTGAGAGCTGGATTAAAAACCAGAAGATTATGAATTCTAATCCTTTTTTAGGCATGAAAAGCGGCTCTTTCAGCACAACCCTCCCCACACCAATATTGTTGGTATGAGGAAAAAAGGTGACAACATTATGTATATTGTCTTAATTGTAGAAAATAAAGAAAATATATAAATATAATAATGATAATATTTCAGTGGAGATTAAGTGGAAGCTCATATAGTATCAACTGAACCAGGAAACCAGAACTTAATAATTTAGGACTGGAATGAATTTATCTACTTTTACAAAACTGCTCTGCTTTATCGATTTTAAAAACTTGGACTCATTCCAGTGCTAAAACTATCATATTAATTCTAGTCATACTATTTATTAATTTGCACTCAGATGACATCCAAAGAAAAATACAACCACAGTTATTACATTTCTTCTATTGTTTTTGAGGAATATTACTATCTGCAGATTTGTACAGTTTGTCCAAAGGTTTATTTTAGTATTGCAGAGAAAAAAAGGGAAGACTAGGTTCATACATACATAAACAAGGAATGATCAAGGAATATATTATCCTTTTTCCTTAAGGAATTCTATGAATTTGGCAATTATTTATAGCATTTTTATTCTGCCACTGAAGCCAAAAAGGATCTCTGAACATATTATATTTTGATACAAAATAAGAAAATCCCTGCTTGTCTCTCCTTGGCACAATTTGGCAGAAAATCTGTTACTAATACAAGGACACTTATGTGCCAGCTTTATCCTTTTTTATTCAGATTTTTTTTCATATAAACTTGAAACATTCTGAGTTTTGAGTTTTACAGAACCCTGGCTGATCTGAAATGGTTCAGTAGAGCCCGTGGAATGTGAAAGTTTGTTCCTGATTAAAAACCATTTTCCCCATTTTATGCACACCAACATCAACAAAAATATTTTTATTTTTGATCCAAGTTATCTTGTATTTGCAGAGTCAAAGCATAAACATTCAGTTGTATCACCATTAGTGTTACAGAAACAAGTACAGTAATTGTTAAAGTGTTGTAAAGCTGAGAGGTAAATCTAACAATTGAGCAGATGGCGGTAAGAAAATGAATGGAAAAAAGCATATGAGGAAGGGGTGAAAGAAAGATACATGCAACAGGGAAAAACTATCACAAAGTCTGAATATTAGTTCATGACTCACATTTCTAAATTTTAAAAAATCACTTCCCACAATAGAAGTGAGGATCATCCATAGAAATTGAAGAAGAATCATAGGCCATTTAAACCGCTGGTACTAATCTTCTGCTTAGTGCAGAAAATCCAAATCAAAAACATCCCAGATAGATATCTATCAAGACGCTGCTTGAATACATCCAATGGTTAACTCCATCATATTCAAAATAGCCAATAAAGGCAGCATGTTTAGTAGGCAAAGAATGGGAGAACTCGATATGACAAAAAGGAGATATGATATCCCAGCCAATGCATTTTATATGTTTAAGTAACCCTAAAGGGAATTTACTGCACCTCAGCTTTCAATAAGTCCAGCCAGTAGAAAGAGATGCTTAAAACTAGTTTACTAACAACTACTATAGGATCACACAGAGTCTACCTCCCAATACCTCTAAATGCTTGACTTCATAACAGCAATGGGTAATTCTGGATAGATGTGTGGCATAGGACCTGGATATCTACAAGACCGCCTTCTGCCTCCGATAGCCTCCCACTGACCAGTACGCTCCCAGAGAGGGTCTCCTCAGGGTGCCGTCGGTTAGACAGTGTCGACTGGTGACCCCCAGGGGGAGAGCCTTCTCTGTGGGGGCACCTGCCCTTTGGAACGAACTGCCCCCAGAGATGCGTCGGATTTCCGACCTCCATACCTTTCGCCGCGCCCTTAAAACGCTATTATTCCAGCAAGCAGGGCTGGCCTGAATATTTTTAATGGGTTATTGTATTTTAGATGATTGGCCAAAACTATTTAATAATTTTAAATTGTTTTTAACTTTTATATTATGGGTTTTATCTTGGCTGTACACCGCCCTGAGTCCCCCGGGAGAAGGGCGGTATAAAAATTTAATAAAACTGAAACTGAACATGGGTTGCTCTAGATTTTTGCAAAGCTGTTCGAATAGCAAACCATGCAATTCAATGATAAAAGGACCCCTCTAACTTTTTTTAAAATGTCAGACAAATGTTTGAGTGGATATTTATATTATTTAGATTTATAATATTTCTATCAAAACTGATACTGTGATGCAACGGCATAAAATCCTGATTCACATTTAGCCTCGTTTCCAATTTGGGAAACATGTTTTTAAAAATATGTACTTTGCCAACAGTTTTGGCAAGCATTTATGGCAGTGTTTCTCAACCTTGGAAGCTTGAAGATGGGTGGACTTCAACTCCCAGAATCCCCCAGCCAGCAGTGCTGGCTGGGGGATTCTGGGAGTTGAAGTCCACCCATCTTCAAGCTTCCAAGGTTGAGAAACACTGATTTATGGAATAAATCTCCAAATGCCGCCCTTTAAAACAACGTCTGCAAGGCCTCTTGTGTTTGGGCTTCTCAGTATCCCTTCCCACAAGCTGGTGTACCTCTACTTGGAGAGGTCCGGGAGTTGCAGTCCAACAAAGCGGATAACACGCGCCGAGAAATCTGATCTACCGATTTACTGGGGAGAGAAAACTCAAGGTTTTAACCTGTAAAAGACCGCTAAGAAAAGTCTCCGGAGCGTCCGCCGTTTTCCCATGAAAGCTGCCAGGGAAGTCTCTGAGGCTGGCTGGCCAAGACTGAGTTAAAGATACCCGGGTAGGTCGAATCCACTTTCCAGGACTGGCGTTCCTTCTCCTTCCCACTCAAGGACACCAGCACCGATTAGTGCAGCTCAGGACCAAGGATTCGCTTCCCAACCTGCAGCCCCCCGCAACCTGCAGCGCCCAGAAACTTGCACAGAAGTGCAGCTGCAGACAGTTCCCAAGCTTTCAAGATACTCGATTTGAAAGGCTTACCTGGATGACCCTACTGGCGGCCGCCATCTTGCTGCCCATGGTGATACCCCCGCCCGGTCAAAAAGGAAAGAGCGCGCCAGCACAAAGCTTTATGGGAGCGGTAAGGCCGGGTCTAGCTAAGCCCCGCCCTCCATGAAAGGCACGGCTTAGAACCCAACGGACTGTGATGTATACAGACCGTGGTACGGAGTGTTTTTCATGCAACGATCGAACGAGGGATTGGCGGGTAGCCAGTGTTTTATTTTAACTAGCAAGTGATTTATTGATCCCCCTTCTATAGCCGCCCATCTTAATCAATGACTCTGAGCCGCTTGCCATTTAAAAATACTTGTTTAATTTCACTAAAATAACTGGTTGCCCTACCCAAACTTAATGATTAGTTATCCCTTGTTTAAAACTGATTCATCCAGCCTTACATAGTTGCCATGTAGCAAATAACTGTTTTCACTATGCAAATTTGTTTGCTTAGCACCTTTTCATATTTACACAAAAGTAGCATGGCAAGTACAGGCTGATTTATTTTAGAATATCTGCACATAGAGATATTTGCATGATGTGTTTTGGCCTACAACAGAATATCCAGTCAGATTGAGTTACTGGTAAATCATTTCGAAGCATTGACCTTTTCTCTTCATCTATGGGTGATACTTAGCTATCTTTTCTGTGACTTTCAAAGGAGAGAAAAGATTTGTGTAAGCTCTAGTTACATTAACTAGAAAATACTAGTTTCATGTCAGATCACTAAAGTACACAAACTATTTTTTTTAATTGCCAGCACTGCTTCAGTACTAAAGCGCATTTATTGAACCCATTAATATTTCATTTTAATAAAATTGTGAAATCCCCTTACTTTTTTTGGCTTTCAAAAAATATTGTTCAACTAAAGTACTTCTTCTTCTTCTTGTGCCATGTCCGTCATCGGACGTTGGCAATCATGTTGACAATCCTATTGTTGCCCTAGAAGTGCAAATGGTAACATGAACTTTAGTTATAACAGCACCGTATTGTGAATTGTCCACCTTTTTGTTCTCTGATGTTTTCCTAATAGGTTATTTTAAAAGGGAAGCTCCTTCAGATTTTTATCTGAAAAAAAGTACAGCGCACATATTGGCATTGAGATAATAGCATCAATGGGAATTTTATATATCTAATGTTTAAGAGAGCAAGATTCTAATGCCATTTTATATGGATCCTTGTGTGTCTTGGTTCAAAATATTTATTTCTGTCTGGGAACATTAACAAGAGGCAACCTAATAATACAGAACAATTACAGTGTAACATTTCTGCAAAAAATTCTTTATCAACATTTAGGAGATGGCCTCCTATTTAGATATGGTTTTACTATATTATCTATTCATTACCTATGAAAAACTACAGCAGATATAAAGAAATAGAATATTACAAATATCTTACAAGAATGGCCTAGGGAGAAAAGAGTGTTCAATAATATTTGATAATGTCAGCTATCAATTTTTGAACTCCTGATGATTTGTTAAAAATCCACTGAAATTAGACATAAAGAATTGTAATAAGAATGTAGCAAAAAAAAAAAGTTGCATCATACATATGCATAGATAATATGAAGACAAAACACAAGCTAAATTGTGTTGAGACAACGAAGTGGCTACTTTTGTAAATATCTGCTTTTGCCAGAAGGCCTATTGCTGTTATTACTAGAATCGGCAATTGGAAACTTATGCAAAATTAAGAGAAGGAGGTGTGAATTATTTTACAGCTAAATGACTCTCCTGTAATAGCTTCTTGGATACATTTACAATGACTAACAGACTTTCCCTTTTATTGCTATATCGATCATACTTCAGTGGAATATATTCTTGTACAGATACCTAACTCTTAGAATATGACTAGTATATTACAAAAACCTGATAGATTACTCTTTTATCTCTGAATTTGGAAATCTCAGAAAGAAAATACAGTCATTCTTGATGTTTCAGATGCCAGTCATATTTTTCTCCAGTTGTAGAACAATTGTCTTCAATGCTGGATCCTTTGCCCAATTGACTCCACTTCCAGTAATAAGGTTCTGCAATAAATATTATTTAAATATAAAATCAACTAATTAATTATATAAGTATAAATGAATAAATAAATAAGGATTTTTTGTCCTCAATTATATTGTTTTAATATGCAAATAAATACAATTTCCACAACCAAATAAGCAATCAATTATTGCTAGGTTGTATAATTTGTAAATTATATTATGTTTCTACAAGGAAGTGTTTTCAAATGTTTACACAAGATTTGTTTATTCTTAGAATATGAATATTTAATAAATTCCATTTATACTGGCAGTTCTTGATTTATGACTGCAATTGGGACTGCAATTTTACAATCATTTTTACCATTACGTGAATTATGTAGTCATAAATCCAAATCACATGGTTGTTAAGTGAATCATGCAGTCATAAATCTGAATCCATCCTCCAGAAAGGGCATTTTTGCTGGAAACCTGCAAAAATGATGCAAATTGTGGTTGTATGACCATGGGACACTACAACCAGTCATAAATATGAGTCATTTATGTGAGGACTACCTGTAATCTGAATAAAAAAAGGGATAAAAATGTATTGCATATAGAGCTTTGTTCTACATTATACTAACCTGTGCAATTTATACCTGTAGCTATAATAGTAATTATGGTGATAATAATTTCTATTAATAAGCATTGAAACACTCGATGTCTACAGGTAGTCCTTGTTTAAGGAAAACGCAAACCTACAAGAGAAGTGGTAGTTACAACTGGTCCTTGTATTTATGTTGTTCACAGCATCCCTGAAGTCAGGATTAAGGTCCAGGTGCCTGGCACACATTTTCTACATCATAGCACCTCACAGTCACAATTGCCATTTGTGACTTTTGCTGGCTTCCTACAAAGTCAATACGGAAGCTGGCAGAAAGTCACAAATGGTGACAGCAGGGCATCTTCACTTAATGACTTGTCATGATCCACTTAACAACAGCAACTGGAAGTGCTGGAATTTTCATTGCTAGATAGTGTGGCCACATGACATCATGCTTTAGAACTAAGTCACTTAGCAATGAAAATTCCAATCCCAATTGCCATAGCTAACCAAGGACTACCTGTATTTGATATCAACATTTTAATTTTCATGTTTCACATCTAGTACAAACTAATCCATACCAAGTAAGACATTTTTCTATCAATACAAATACAACTTACCTGGAAAATGTTTTGAACCAATGTGGTCATCTGAATTTCCTTTTGTAAATTTTTACGGGCTTTCTTCAACATTTCACCAACCTCCATATTTTCTAAATCCTCTTTTTGTTTTCTCTTCATATCATATATTTGTGCCAGTTTACATTCTCCAGTTCGCTTTAATTCTATTGTAGTATTGGATGGGGAGGAGGGAGAGGGAAGTTAGTAAAGATACTAATTTAAAAAAACGAATTCAGGAACATGCCTTGCATTCACTATATTTGTGGATTAAACTAATGAAGTTAACATTTGAAATTAAATTAAATTTGTGTTATTTCAAATTAATTTATTTTATTGATTTTTTTTATCACAACGAATTATAACGTACCTAGTCTGCTCTTCTTAACCTCATTCAGTTTTTCTTCCAGTTCACGGGATTGCTGCAAAACCAAGTAATTTATATAAATATATGTATATATTAAAAGTATCCATACATCCAGCTTAATACAACTACTGCCCTGGTGGCGCAGCAGACTAAAACACTGTTATTAACATCAGTTGCCTGCAATTACTGCAAGTTCAAATTTTACCAGGCTCAAGGTTGACTCAGCCTTCCATCCTTTCTAAGGTAGGTAAAATGAGGACCCGGATTGTGGGGGCAATAAGCTGACTTTGTATAAATATACAAAAGTATGAAGGCTATTGCTTAATGCATTGTAAGCCGCCCTGAGTCTCCAGAGAAGGGCGGCATATAAATCAAATAAAAAAAAAAAAAAACTACAAAGATTTAAGTTTTCAAATATGTTACACCATTAGTTTCAAATGATGATTTTATAGACAATAGTCATTATCATTTTAATATAAAGGATACTCACCTGCTTTGATTTAAGTATTGCTGTACTAAGCATCATGATATGTTTAATGGTATCCCAGATAAACCTAATGAGAAAAATGCAGAAAAATCAACAAGATCTACTAATATGTGAAACAAAATCACGTTAGATAGATTTAAAACACCAGAATATCTTGCTTAATTCTTTCTCAAGCTACAATATAATTCTTCTCTTTCCTGCTTCTTACAAAATGCTTTGACTGGCAACATTAAATGCAAGAGAAGAAACAGACAAAAGAGCTACAAATACATTTCAATATTGCCTTCTAAAATGGAAAAACATTGGCCTTAACAGGTTTAGCTAACACATACTTTTCATGTATTATAGTATTTGTATCGAAATAGTATACATTACTAATCTTCCTGTATGTTTCATTACTTTTCCCTATCCAACATACTGGGAAGCTCTAGAGATCATTAGTTGTAAAGACTCTCCCGGAACTCAATCAAATGCTTTCCGACATAATTGAATGAGAAAAGTCTAGTCCTCAAATGCCTAGGGTAGGAATTTTTTAAAGTTGCATTTTGAAAGCCCTTTAAATGAAAATGCATTTTAAAAAAAGGTAAACTCAAATTATCATTAGCAAAATTCATTTGTAGTCCGAAGTAGTAATATGTAATGGATTTGCATCCATGCTTGCTGTTTTCATTCCACATATGGAATGTATTACAGTTCCTCATTTGAGATATATGTGATGGGTCCCCTATTCCATATGGTTTGTTGAAGAAGATGCCAACAAAGAATGTAGCCACATCTTTAAGTAAGGTTTGATAACACAAAAATGCTTTCTTTCTAAAGTGGGGCTACTTTGGAAATGCAAAAATGTGTCCTAAAATGTTAGAAAGGATGGCAGAATCTCAGGTATGTGATTTAACTGGAAGCTGATATGGAATTGACTACTTCATTATTCCAGGGATCCTACAGGACTGTTGTCTAGATTTGCATGACTTCTAAAGTCAATGATCAAAACTACTCTTTTTGAAAGTGAAGAAGATGCCTGCTATACTTTTTATCTATTGTGCCTTAAAATATTTTTGATTAAGAATTACAATGCAAACATTTTGATCAATTTAATAATGCTCACTGCTAATAGTTTATTGATGATTCTGACAATGGTTTAGCTGTCACATCAGAATAACATCCATTTGTTCTAAAATTGTGTTCTAGATTGTGATTGTAGTTGAGATATAGCTACATCCTAGAGGAAGCAGACTATTTGGACCTTTTCAGTTCAAGTTCAGGCCTGAGAATAGATGGTCATAAGCTTTAGTTAACTATTAACTATTAACCATATAAACAGTATGGCTGGCCAAGCGAAGATTCTTCTCAAGTATACTGTAGATGTTTAAAAAATGCATTCCCTTCCTGATTTCAATGCTTACTTTGAATCATCATCTTCATTTTTCAGTTTGGTTCTAAGGGCATCAGTTATTTGGATCCTATAAAACAAAGGGTAAAGTAGATAGAAGATCTCCAGAACTTAAAATATATTATCCACTTAGCTTTTGTCAGAGTGCTAACATAGTCAGAGTGTAAAAACTACAACTGAAGAGATATTCACTTTTATGCATCATTGATCAATTTGGCCATTGCGTGCAATAGGCCCATCCACCTACTTCCCACCTATAATTAGCTCTGTCGTTTTTACTTCAGACATGTTAATCGATGGAGGCTTAGCTCCTGTTGCTTCCTCCCCTATCGCGGACTGCTTGGGCTGCCCATCCTCAGGGAATGAAGCTGAGCTGTCGGATATTGCTATAATGGAAATCCCTCTGGCCCCTTTCCACACACCACTGCTTCTCCACCTCGCAGGCACATTTAATATATCAACCAAATTTGTTTGTTGTTTTGCCGGTGATCTTTTGACCGGCCCGGCTTGTTCCTCATTACCCATGTCTATTATGGCTTGAAGGTGCTTTGCCGGGCTCCTCAACATTTGGCCTGGGCTGGCTATGCCTCCACAGGACAAATCTACATGCCCAAAGGGAGGGGGGTGCCGTCGATCTCTACTCCCTGATCGAAATCGATCTCTACTCATCCTGCAGGATCTTTCCTGATGCCTCAATGCTTGGTAAGCCGGTAGCAGGTTGATGTGCCTATTGATGGAGTTATTGTTGGAAAACCAGGCTTCTTTCAATAGGCGTCCCCCTTTAGTTGCATTGCGGGCAACAACTTCAGCCTCTTGAAAATTGAACATGTGATTGTGCTCCATGTGTCACCAAGCATTGAGGCACCGGGAAAGATCCTGCAGGATGAACAGATCCCTATTGACTGGGGAAGCCAGCAGGGAAGGTTGCAAATGGTGAATACTTGATTGTGTGGTGCTGCAACTGGTCATAAGTGTGAGCTGGTTGCCAAGTGCCCAGATTATGATTACAAGTACTGCAGAAGTGCTGGGCTGGTTGGAACTTTGAGGACTAGTCATAACTATGATTCATTCAGCGCCATAATAACTTTGAACAGTAACTGAATATATTAATTTAGATTTTGTTTTACTTTAAAAACTATGGTTTCTTGGTAGAATTATATTTTTAATTGGCTTTATTGGACACATCTTGTAGATATTATACAGAAATGCAATAAATAAAACAAAGCAATAGGGTCTTTACCTTTGTAATGCTAAAGTTTTATTTTGATATGATAGCCTCATCTCTTCCAAGTCTCTTTCCAATTCTTCTATGGAACTAAAAATAACAGGGAAAAGAAGTTTAATAATTAATAACTTGTATTCTCTCAGAAATGAATGTTAAGATCATTTGTTTCATATCAGATCTAAAAGAGTTTTGCTGATTGATAGAGTGACAGAGTGACTGTCAGACAGAGTCTGACTCTATATAGAGTGATAACCAGATGGTTATCTGTTTTGATACTAGATGTGGATTTTTTTTTTCATGTTTGTCAATAGAACGTAAAACAGAAAACCAAAATGTAGTGCTAACATATTTCAGATTAATACATTGATTCAGAAATATTTTTTCTTTTTAATAGAATTTCTATCACAACAGAATAGGAAAAGGAGGATGTAAGCTTATGATTTGTCATGGGCATACTGAAAACTGAAGCATAAACATCTTTTGATTCCTTAAACTATGAAAATAGGATAGGATGCAGCAATATAACTAGTGAACAGATATAAGGCATTAATGGAAGAAGTAGCTTGATGCTTCTCATGACCAGAAAAGGCATATACGATACATCAGTTATAGTAGTTACTTGAAGAACACCCACCCCCACATATTTAGTATGTATTATTCTGACATACATTTTCTAAGAAAGAAATTCCAGTCAGGTAAATGTGGCATGTTTTCAAGTAAAACACAATACATTAAAATCTTTAAAATACAAGTTTCCTTAAAAATAAAGAGAAGTTAGATCAATTCTAATTTTTAAATAGAATATTATCATGTTATATATAACAAATTTTGAAAACATACCCCTCTAATATTTTTTCATTTCTATCTTGATCCGGAATCTTTTCTGCAGCTGCTAAACAAAAAGATATATTTATAAAAGATAGCTGAACAGCCCCTCCCACCTCTAAACACAAATATGGCATAGAAAACTCCTATGCTATAGAGAAAAGACTTGACATTTTAATTTTGTTGTAAACTTTAACCTAATTTTTAAATATTTACTTTCACATTCTAAAATAACAAAGTTTGAGTTTTTAATGATCCACTTACCTGAATTGATTATTGTATTATATTCCATAAGATGCTGACTTATTTGTTCCTTGATTCTAAAATAATGAAAAAACACAGTCACAAGAAAATTAGAAAAAGAAAATGTAATTGTAGCAGTCACTGCAAGACTAAATTGGATTAGTGTTTACTGAAGATTTTAAACTCATAAACTCAGCTTATGTACATTTACATATTTAAAATATCCTAAATTTAAATTTGGACAAATTATAAAACCATCGCAATATGAGCATGATTTTCCATTTACACCACTGTTCACGGCTTTTAAGTTTTCCCTTTTGTAACTTTTTGTTATTGTAGCAAACCACTTTGCAGGCTGTCAGTTTTTAGAGATCTCAGGAGCAACTTTTATTAAAGACATGTAAACATTGCCTAACTGAAACAACACTAGAAACATTTTGATATATTAAAACTTATCTTGCTAGTACTTCTATCTCCCTAGGTTCAAAACAGTCGCTTTGGTGGGAAACAATGGGGAAAAAATATTTCTGACTCTCTAGGTTTATGTTCAACAATATTCCTCACAGCTAAAAAAACCCTGCATTCCAGCCTTCCTCGGTTTCCTTTGTATGTTGCCATACTTTTTTTGAAAAGTATGTCTGCACAACTGGTGAGGGACCAGCTTTAACCTGTTTTCACATTCAGGCTTGTGGCTATATATCTCTCTTTTTACAACTTTAGGTTCGCCATTGCGGGATTTCCCCGGCTGTCAAGGGATTTTTTTAGTGCGGTACTACTCCTGTGGACTGCAAAACTCTGGACCACCATTAGATGGAAACCAAGAGCTAAGAGGGTTTCTAAAGGGCCCTCCGAAGTTTTGCTGCTGCTAGAATGGCCTCCTGAGGGAAGAAGCCCTTGAAGGGTTGGCTGTAAGGCCGACAACGATTGACCGACTGAGCTGGAAGAAGCTTCTTGGATGAGAAGTGAAACGTCTTCAAAGAAAAACCTTCTGTAGCCTGTTTATGCAGTTCACCTATAATCCACCATTATATTCTACAGAAGAGTGTAATGGCTCCTCCAGTTCAAGATTGCAACATTTCATGGATTAGTCAATGATTAAAGCCAGACACAAAGATGGAATTATGTCCATGTGGTGTACATTATCTGTATACTTTGCTTGTAATGGTGAACAATCTACTTATGACATATTTTAAAAGCTGGTTTGCTGAGAATATTCCCTGTTGATATATCTGTCAGGAAAAGTGATGAACAGATAAAATTGCTCAGACTGGCCCCAGGAAATATTATATTAGAAAGATCTGTCACAACACATCTATCAACTTTTTTTTCTTTACTTCTGTAATAGAAATTTAGTTGGCTATAGATAGAAGGTGAAATGCCAGCAGTTTTTATTCACTGACAAACCTATTTCTCTCAGCAGAACCAGATTGACTGAAAGGTAATTCTCTCTCCCTTTGTAAACTCTTTGCCCCATATGCCTTCAAAACACGTTCTAGATTTGGGGAGACCTTTAGAATCAGATTTTGTAAGCAAGGGGAAAAGGGATGAAAAAATCCATTTTCATGTCTGCTCATATGAGATTCAGTTTCACCTTAATCGCTTGGGGAGCGGCCTGATTCCTTTTCTTTTATAGACTGTAAGAAATACACAACATGGTGACATGAAGATGTACTTTTGCTATGGTGTATTATTAATTTATTTACTTACCATAAATTCAACTTTAATCCAAATTAGATTACATGTCACATATTTCAAATTATCCACAAAACCTTATAATGCAGACAAGATACCAAGCAAGGGAATATTATGAATCTTTCTTTATTTTAAAATAATTTTTATTGAGTTTTTAAGTTTTTAAAAACAAAGTAAAGAAAAATACAACATACATTAAAAACACGTAACAAACGTAACATTACATCATACAGCTTACTGTAAAATATAAGTACGTAGATGAAAGATTGAATAAAAATAGAGCATATATATCCATGTCGACACAATAAACTGGAATATTATGGATCTTTTGTATATCCATTTGTAAAAGTGCAATTGTCCCAAAGGTGCTTTTTTTTTTTTCTGGAGGCAACTGGACTTTGTGAGTCTTCTCCCCCCCCAAAAAAAAGCACTTTGGGGACAACCATGACCTGGATGATTGAGAATCTCCATATAGACTGACCGGTAGAGCTTGAGCAAATCCGGCGTCTTCTCTTTCTCTTCGTTGAAGAGCAAACGGGCTCCTTCCTCCATCACTCCTTCATTGGAATTACCGAAAGCCGCCGCCGGCGCTGCCTTGTCTCCTATCTCCGGAGAGCCCGCTACTTCCATCCCGGCAACGCCGCCCAAAACCCTCTTTTCTTCTCACCGATTTACGGGAGCGCTCTACCGCGGCTCCACGGCGGGCCGCTCTTTCAAATAGCCCGCCGACCGAACTCCGCCTTAAGTGAGAGGAGTATCGTCAGATCGACGATGGATTGCTCTGGTCTGCTCTCGATCGGCAGGGAAAGAACGGCGCTCTTTACTCAGGCCTCGTGAGGAAAAAAAAAAAAAACGGCACAAAAATGTTGTCGCCCAGCCCAGCGGAGCCTGGGAATAGCTTAAGGGAAGCCTTCCATTGGCCGGGGACGCCCAAGCGGGGTTGGAAGTGGGTGGAGAGAAAATGGAGTAGAGCAGGGGCCTCCAACCTTGGCATCGTTAAGCCTGGCGGACTTCAACTCCCAGAATTCCCCAGCCAGCTTTGGGGGCTGGGGAATTCTGGGAGTTGAAGTCCGCCAGGCTTAAAGATGTCAAGGTTGGAGACCCCTGGAGCTTTGCTGGCTGGGGAATTCTGGGAGTTGAAGTTCGCCAGCCTTAAAGATGCCAAGGTTGGAGACCCCTGGAGTAGAGTGTTGGAGGTGGCATTTCTGTCTATGGAGCGTCGTTTGCTGTTCTGGGTTTCCCCAAAAGAAAGCGGGACAGAGACCTAAGTGAGAGCAGGAATAAGTTAAAACCAGGGAAAAATTATTTACGCAGAGTTGCAACCCTAAACCTTTCACTTGGAGAGAATTTGTATCACGGTGGCTCACGTGCTTAGGACGACGGGGGTAGACAAGCAGCAAGCCCGCGATCGAGAGTGTTGCCTTGGGTCGGGGGTGAGCTCCGATCATTTTCTCAAAGCTCTTGTGGATTCGAAAGTGTTGCCCCAAAGGTGCCTTCCCTCCCTCCCCGCCTCCCCAAAGAGGCAACTGGAGTTTCTGGTTTTTTGTCTTTTGAAGACGTTTCGCTTCTCATCCAAGAAGCTTCAAGTCTTCAAAGAAAAACCAGAAAGTCCATTTGCCTCTTTTTTTTAAAAAAAAATTGATTTGTATGCCGCCCTTCTCCGGAGACTCAGGGCGGCTTACAATGCGTTAAGCAATAGCCTTCATACTTTTGTATATTTATACAAAGTCAGCTTATTGCCCCCATAAACTGGGTCCTCATTTTACCTACCTTAGAAAGGATGGAAGGCTGAGTCAACCTTGAGCCTGGTGAGATTTGAACTTGCAGTAATTGCAGGCAGCAGATGTAAGTGGATGTTAATAACAGTGCTTTAGTCTGCTGAGCCATCAGAGCTCCTTGAAAAAGAGCTTTTTTCTCTTGAAAAAGCACCTTTGCTTCTTGAATGAGAAGGGAAACATCTTCCAAAAAACAAAACAAAAACAAAACCCCAAGAAAGTCCAGTTGCCTCTTGGGGGGGGGGAAGGCACCTTTGGGACAACCATGACTTGGATGACTGAGAATCTCCATAGACATTCGAGCCTGTGGGTTCCTGAATAGATAGATACCACTTCGGTGGACACAGCAGTTCGGTGGTTCGAATCCCTAGTACAGGTCTCCTGTGTGACGAGGGGGTTGGACTAGATGACCTCCAAGGTCCCTTCCAACTCTGTTACTGTAACATTAATGGAGACATGAAAGGAACTCTCTTAACTGGGCGTCCTCCAGGCAACGGATGACCCTTTCAACCTGGAAGAGCCTTGGTGCTTCCGACAGGATTGCCATGCCATGGCATTTGATAACACTTCCGAATTAGGTGGTTTAGGAGTGATTTAATATTAAACCCATGTTTACAGAAAGTGATATTGTATTTGGGGAGGGTGTTGAATTTCTAGATCTTGAAAGGGACCTCTGGGGGGTTTACAAAATCAAAGCAGTTTACTAGATATTGGAGACATTTGCAAAAATTTAAAGCAATGTCATTATTTTGTTAAGAAATTCTTTTCATGAAATATCTACATTTTCACCTGATTTAATATTCTACAAATGCATCAACGTTTTAATTTTTTCTCATGGTAAATATAAGTAAACATAACTCACACAAAAAGCTCTTTTGGGGCCCTGTGTAATTTTTCCAAGGTGGGGGAATAAAGTTTTAACACAACTCTAGAGTCATTGCTCTGTAGAGATTAACATTATGTGAGTTTCCAGAGATTTGTAATACACATAACACTATTACTAATGGAATAATTGGTTCCCAGACAAGCAGCTGTTTTGTAGACAACCAGCTGCAAATTTGTTATCATTGAGGAAATGCCATACCACCAATTCTAGCAGGGTGGGCATTCTGAGGATCATCTCAGTGAAACAATACCATCTTGAAGGGCTAAAATGTGCCTTCACTGTGTATTTCAATGGAACAGTTCCCAAATGAATGAAGCTGGTCCTGCTTGTACTGATGTCACCTAATTGGATAAGTAGACAAGACAACTCAGCATCACAAACTTGGCTTTTCTCCCAGGAATTGGGACCAGATTTAGTGGAACCCAAGACTTGTGAATTTGTACCTGAAGATTGTGAGACACCTTGGCTTTTGCACTACAGTACTTGCTATTTGTGTCTGTATTCATGTGCTTTATATTGTTTTGCATTGTAAGTCACCAAGAGTTATGTGCTTAATATGGTGGCTACAGAAATTTAATAAATAAGCCAACTATTCAAGAGACTTTAAAATCATGGTTTGTAAAGCATCAGTTTTGGTCTGAAGGAGATGCTAAAGTGTTGGACAGCTTAAATAGACAAACCTGCACCCCATATTACCCTATGGGTATTCTAGGTTAGCCTTTTTAAACATGCAAGCAAGGCTAATAACTTTACTTTGATAATTGCATGATTGGGATGCTCTTCTGGGGAAAAAAAAAAGCAAGGTCAAGCTACAATTTGAATTTTCAGAAAACCAATGATGTGAAAAATAGGAGCCTGGGAGATATGCCTAATCAAAACAGGTAGCAATGCATTAAATGAAAAACTAGGCCTAATGTGATCAGAAAATTTAAGACCAAGCATTGTTGGAACTTGGCCTGGTGTAATGTAATGAATAGAAGAGGTTCAAGTCTACTTTCAGCCATAGAACTTCTCCTTAGCCCAGCTACTTCAGATTTGTGAGAAATAAAAGGGAATCCTACCTTGTATTCTTGAACAAAAAGCAGGATATTAAATAAAATAAATTCTACTTAATTTGATATTTAACTTAACTTGCCTAAATCTGGTTTATTTGGATCATAGTTTAGCATACTTAAACTTAATTGAAAGCAAAAACCTACATACTTAGTTTTGATACGTATATATTTAATATTTACATTCCATTATATCAACAGTTTATGAATGAGCTACAAAGAGTACCACTGGCAACATACAAAGATGGAAATAAAAGCTGTGGAAAAGTTCATTTGCAGCTATGATTAATCAGAAATAAAAATGTCCATTTTAGGGTGTGAAAGCTCCGATAGCCTAGAACAAAACCCTTCAAATGTCCTGATTAGATATAAAGTTTATTAAATAACAGAAAATATTTTCCAGGTTTTGAAAAATATTTTTTCTTACACTTAAAATGCTGTATATTATTAAGTTTCTTCATATTAAAAATCAGTTGCCTTATAAAACCATGCTATATATAAACGCAAAATATAACTTACAGTAAGCGTATGACACATCATTTATTGAGTTTGAGTTACAATAACTTTTTACTAGTTCTGATTGTTTGTCATGTCATAATTTGTCAACAAATTAACTTATTCTGAAAGTTAATTTTGCCTATACTGTTTCATATGACAATATTTCTTGATGTATCTAAACACATAATATTTAGCATCTTTTCCATTTTATGGATTCACTAAAACAAGTAATTAGGAATGGCCATTGTAATTTTTATTACTTCAGAATACAGATAATGAAAAATCCCTCTGAGAAAATAAACATGATAACTTTTTCCTGTTTGCTGGTCTTCATTCAACAGATTATATAGGCATGAGCTTCCAATATCCTAGTTTTATTTTAAGGCTTAATATCTGACAAAACAAATGTTAAGTAGACCATGACAACAGTTGAAGTAAAAGTAAGGAAGTTTATTAAAAACTTTAAGAGAATATATTATATACACACACAACAGTGACACATGGTGTCAACTTTGTCCAAACAGTTAAATTATATTTATTTCAACAATGGTTTAGCCAGATCCTGTACGACTGCAGAATTCAATGCTGGAAGGGTGCTAATCTTGGCATGCTTGTTGCTGGCGTATTTATTTTTGATAGTCTAGGGAGAAACATGTGATTCATTATGAAATACTTTGTTCTAGAGCAAAATTTCATTAACATTTTTACTGAATGTTTAAGGCAGCCCGTTTATCAAACAAATGTTGAGGAATATATAACAACCATGTGAGCCACATAATCAGCATTTCTTAAATATTTAATAGATAACCATACTGCTATATTATACAAAAATGTCCTAGGAATCAGAAAATTGAAAATCCTGAAAAATGTATTGAATAATTATGAAACGACTAGCATAGTAACTTGCTTAGGTACAAAATGGCTGTCCCAAGGAACAGAACCTATCCAGAAGGAAAAAAAGACAGCCCATTACTTAAGATTGTTTTTCCACTAGGGAACTGTTTTGGGATGGTCCATGTTTGAAAGAAGATATAGGTGTGCTAGGAGATTTTTGCCAAGCTTGGAACAATGTAGTTCCACCAGACAGAAGTGATTTGGGAACTGGGGATAGAACAGTGGGGGGAGAAAGGCAAGAGCATTAGCAAAGGAGGAGGAGGACAGAGGCAGACACAAAGAGATATGCCAAGATGGATTCTTTGGCAGTGATGGCTAAGGTGGTCAAAGGAAGAAGAAATGTGCCATGAAAACTGGGAGGCTGAGAAATAGCTACTCAGGAAGCCACTGAGGGAGTAATATATACCAGTCTTGCTCTACTCTACTCTACTCATTCTATTTGGATGTTATTTTGTCTAAAACACAGAACAACCAAAGCACTCTGGGATTTTGTTCTAATGATCCATTGGGCCTCTGAAGCCTGGTGGTTTGCTTGTTCCAGGTTTGGGGGACAAATATTTTCTGCACGCTTCCGCTCTTCCCATCTTATACTTATTTTCTCAGAATGCCTATGAAGCCATTTGGGCCTTAGATTCTTACAAATAAAGACACACTGACAGGGACACTTGAGAGTTGTCTACAGGCAAATTGGTGTTCATGGCATTATACTACATTTCCTTACCTTATAGAATTGCAGTAGTTGCTATAAATTAC